TTTTGTCTTTAAGTTTAATAAAATCGTATAACTCATGTATCACGCGAACTATATTTTAAGATTCTTTGAGTATTTTATTTTCTAAATAAAAATTACAATAACGAATAGATTTCATTTATATTGTAATTCATTAGAAAGTAATCAAGATATTATGAGTTTATATATAAGAACGATGAATAAAAATGTAAATGAACGATATGAGATAACAAAATTTTTTTTTGTTATTTATGGAATCATCATAATTGTGCTTCAACTGATTGTTAGGAGGTTGAAGTTTAAAAAAATAAAGAGGATATATGATTTCACTAAGAGAAATTTTGAGAAATTAACTTTCACTAATAGATCAGAAAAAAATTTTATTCAAAAAGAGGATATAGAACAATTTCACTAAAGATGAGAAAATAAGGTGAAATTTTTAAATATAAGATTTTATTCAAAATTTTATATTTGAATTTTTTTTGGAAACATAAAAAAAGATTGAAAATGTTGTAATACCATAATTTAAAATAAATATAAAAAGAGAAATTTTGAGAAATGATACTTTTCAAAAATACCATTTTTTCAAAATCTTTGCAAAAATACAATTTTTCAAAATTATTTACTCATTATATCATTTATGTTTGGATTAACTATATTGTATTAGTGGCACACCAAAAATGGCATTTTTGGTATTGTCCCTATAAAAAAATTTAAGTTTTGATACATATAAAGTAAAAAATAAATAGTGACATTTTTCATAAATTGTACAACAAAATACATAGACAATGATATATGATTTTTATGTAAAAATGTACGTAATTCTATACCGTAATCCAAAAAAAATACATATTTAATAATTTAATATTTGAACTAATGATTTTAACCCAAACAAATCTACAAAATATAATTTTTAAGTGTTTAAGAAAACGTAAAAAAAAGATTATGTATAAAATTAATTTTCTATAATTATATTAGTGTCTTACGAAAAAATGACAAAAGTAAATATATTGATCTATGCGTTGCACGAATTATAGTTAAGATATGTTTGAAGATTGGATGAAGCTATATTACAATAAAAGAATATAATAATAAATTCTCAAAATATATAAAAATATTTATTTAAAATCAATGCTAAATTGAAAGAATTTTGTTTTTTAAAACAAATTTTCACATCCAAATTGATAATTAACCATATGATATTAGAATGTGTTAATGAATGTAAAAATATATTTATATATTAACATAAATACTTAC